CCCCAAAACCCCAAAACCCCAAAACCCCATTAAAATAGATTTTGAGTTCAGATGGAATTGTATGTAATTGGTAATTCATGAAATTAAGATTAAAACTTCTATCAAATCGATTAATTATAAGCATCCTGCGACTTATTCAGTTTTTCTTGGCCTTTTCAGATGTAAGCACTGCTTTCCTTCTGGCATAAGAATTCTATCTCAAAAATGATCCTTTCTTAATGCTACTCTCCTTATCTTTAGAATTCATCGGGCCTAGTAGATGATTCCCAATGGTATTGGCAGTTGGGTTGTTGTTATTCACATTGATACTGGGTGGGACTAGTCCTGCCAGTAGCAGTCTGTCATTAGCATTGGATACTTGTCTCTTTAAAGTAGCTTGAATAAGTGACTAGGCAATGTTTGAAGTAGCTGACATGAAGTTATCATTATTCAGATGACTTCTTTTTTAACGGTCTATTAATTCCTCTATTTGGAAGTCTTCATCAGAGTCTGATGATCTAATGCCAGGACTCAAGCCTCCTCTCTCGTCGAGTTGGAAGTTGTTTCCTCCACCACTACCAGTGTTCATCAAGATTGTTGATACTCTATTCCCTCTCTTTACTGATGAATTTCTCATTGTAGCCGAGGATGACAGCATCTGCAGAGTAGTAGAAGGATTCTTAGGAGTGAACCCAAGATTTTCCAGCTCCAGAGTGGGAATTGGAACTCCATTCTGATTATTGTTCAGGTCGAGTAAATCCACTTCCTCATCGTCCTCTCTGACATCACCGTAAAGTTCCCTCCTCTTATTGAGATACATATTAATTATCAGTTAGTTCAGAGTAGCAGCTATTACCACCTGCTGGTTATTAATCAATCCACAACTCTTCTCAATCCTAGATATCCTTCCATACCAATACTCCTTAGGCTCAAGATACCTCAAGTTCTTCCACTTCTAGCCTCGGTATAAGTCATCAATTGAGATCTTGACTTCCTTCAAGATTGTCTCTAAGGCGTCTTTGCATTAATTATAGGTCATCTATAGGACATTAAGGCCATGCTAAACTTACGATTCCTTTGGCCTAGTCAAAGCAGTAGACTATGTTTTTATTGCTAGTGATATTAGCAACCATAAACAGCTCCCTGAATTAGAATATATTGATATTTATTTCACCTATAAGCATAATTGATAAGTGATTGATTACCTAGCTCTAGTTTCTTCTTTTCAAAGACATTCTAGAATTCCTTCTTCTCTAGCTCAATGAACTTATAGTTCTCAGTCTCAACCTTTAATCTATCAGGGTTAATTAATTCAACCAACATCATCAGTTCCCCGTAGTACATATAGTAATTCTCAAATAACTACAAAAATATTGACATTTTAATGGCTTACTGTAAAAGCGTGATATATCTAGTCTAGTTATGATGTCAAAATAACAGAGTATCTCAAAAAATTCTAAATTATGAACTCTAAAAGCTTATCAATATCTACGACTTTAGCTCTTTCCTTAGTAATAGTAAACTTCTCCACATCCTGCTTTATTCTACCATATCCCTCAATAGGTATCTTATCTTCAAATACTATCTTGATTCCATCTAAAGCTTTCAAATAAGGAACGATATCGATATCAGATTTATCATCCTGCTTCACATTGATGCCAACATTTGAATTCTGTATCTTCTCCATGGTATTAAGGTAGAAAAAGAGCACATCATTTGAATAGCCTCTCTTGCCTAGATGCAAACAAAAGCCAAAAAATGTGATCTTTGGATGTGAGTCTATGTGATAGTAAGTAGACCCTAAGATCTGCATAATCTTTCTTTCAGCTAGTTTTGAATTTCCATACTTTTTAGAGAAGTCATCGAACATATACTCTAGAATGCCCAATTGGTTAATGCCTGCCTGACCTGCAAAAGACTATATCATCTATTGGTAGATCTGATTGATCATTTTTATCACGTTCTTTCTGCCCATCTTAGCAAATCTCTTTTTTCGTTTTTCATTGTATTGCAAGAACTTTTCATGCAACTTGTAGACTAGTTATAGTTTCTCATTTTTAGATATAATTCTAAATAACTTCTCAAAAGCAACTAATAAAAATATTACTTAGCTATAATCTTACATCTCTTAAGGCCTTAATAATAGTCTTCCTTATTAATGTACTCCAAGATATCTAGTTATTCTATATTGATGCCAGCTTCACGACATTCCTTGAAGATCTTTCTGATACCATTCTTATACCCGTCATCATAGCCGAAATTCCAGCCTTCCTTCACACCATCTTAAAACCCTTATTAGTGACCAAAATGCTTTCCTTCTTAATAGCCTTTAAAATATCCAGCAGACCTACCTTGCTCTATACCTCTTACATAACCCTAATATTTCATTTATATACTTTTGTTATATCTTACAGTTTGGAAAGCAGAGCTTTCTTGCTAAAGCATTTCATCAATGATACTTGGATTATCAGGTAATAACTCAAGCTAGCTCTTCTTAACCTACATTTAAAATACTTCCAGTTCAAGCTCGGATATTCTTTGAAGGATTGCTTTGAGTTGCCTATTAGCTCGATTGATCTCATAATGCTTGTTCTTAGTTTCAGTCTTAAATTTGAACTCAGCCTCTAGTTTCTTAGCCAAGCTGCTCTTAAGTTGTATGAATAAATCATCTCTCTAACCTTTGTAGGAGAACTCATATTAGCTGTAGGTCTTCTAATTTGTAGATACATCATGCTCTACTACTAACTTTCTAAGTTTTCTGCTGACTCTATCAAACATATATATCTCAGCAGTTTGCACAGTCAATTGATCGTAGTCAATAAAGTTGAAGTCCTCAGTCTGCATCTCCACATCTTTAGATTGAATTCCCTCAAATTCACTATATTCTATGCCTTACCCTTTAACTGGGGTCGTGAATAGCTTCTTTATTTAACCAATCTACATTGATCTCTTTTAGGCGAGCTTGATGAATGATGTAGTACTCAGTTTGTTATTTTTCATCATATCAGCGAAATTCACAGCCAGATCTCCTCCTTGGCTATACTTTTTATCGCCCAATAATTTCTGTAATTAATGTTTATCCTCGTCTGTTATGCGCTCAAGCAATTTTTGAATAGTCTACTACCCATTTCTCATTACCTGCTATACTATTTACTAGACTAGGTCTCTCTGTGATACCAAAGAACCAGCATCAATGACAGCATTGCCATCTTTAGACTTGTAGATTTAACTAGTAATTTCTTGAATCTGCTATATCAATTTGAGTCTTTGATCTTTCTCTATCTAGTCTAACTACTAATCTAGCAGAATGTTGTCATTAACTTCATTCTTCACCTGGTAATCTGATTGCTTTTCCTACTCTTCCTCTCCATTGCTGATTTAATTCTCGTCCATTGTCTTCGAGGCTTTTAGCTCTTTAAGTTGATTTTCAAAGAGAGCATTAATCGCATCCTTAATCATTTATTAGTCAACTTCATGCAGCTGCGTGTCTTCATTCTTAGGCGATCTAGAAAGTGCAGTCATCATTTGGTCATCAGCAATTATTTTATTCTAATTTGATGATATAGTCCTTGCACTTCCAGCAGCTTACGGCGCCTTATTCCTGCCAATAAACTTGACATTTTTGCTTTCCTCTTGATCTGGCATCGTGCTCTTCTTGATTGACTCGCTCTTCTCAAAACTAGAGCAACTACTGCTGCTGCCTCGCTGAGACTTGGTCTTTTTCTTAGCATCAGGGTCATCATCAGTCAGCATGCTGCTAGAACTATCAGCTATCATAATCCTTTTAGTTGAGCCCTTCTTCAGCACTCTTTGCCTCTAGATCTTTCCTTCTTAAGCCTTATTCAATATCTTAGTCTTTTTCATAGCCAAGTTGTACTTCGAATTGTCACTGCTGTCGTCAGAGTCAAATGGATCTATCTTCTTACCAGCTAACAGAGGACTATCTATATAAGAGAGCATGTCATCATAGACCTGCCTCGGTCCGAGGTGATTAGGATTATGCCCATGATAATTGCCTCCTCCAAACTTGCTTATGTTCTTGTTACTATTAATAGATTTGCCTGTCCTAAAGGATGTGAACTGATGCGTCTCCTAATACTTAAGGATAGTCTCTTTCATCTTCTCTACGTCCATCTGATACCTGTCCCTCTGCTGAGAAATTTCCTTGATTTTTACATTCAAACTGTCAATCAGCTTCTCAAATGTACTCAGCTGCTAACGAGTCTGCTCTCTTATATTCTTTATCTGCTCTATATGCTTTTCTTTCTGAAGGTCAATGTCATGCAAGTGTGCTCGCAGTTCAGCTTCGTAAATACTCAAATAAATGTTCAATACTTTCTCCATAAATGCCCCTCTCTCAATGCAGTGAACTGACACCTATCTGACTATATCTCTGATGCAAATAGTAAGAATGACCTTGGAGTAGTAAAATGCTTTCTTTCTTTAGTCCTCTCTAACCATGAAATCCTTTTACTTATACACATTCTATTCCATCATGCTTTCAAACCAGTCATTCAACAGTTGCACCTGCTTCCTCCCAGATGGCTGCCCTAGTGGCTCCTTAGGAGGCGGAGGTACCTTTGAGTTATAGTACTTGTAGTCGTATTCTCCAAACAAGTGAGCATATGGATTACCTCCTGAATCCTGCTTCTCTGAGTTCTTCTTATCTTCTTATGCTGAGTTCAACAGTCCTTGAATGAATTACTCCTATTGGTTGCCTCCTTCATTTAAAACGATCTTCAGCTCAGATACACTCTAGCCATCTTCTCTAATAATTCCATGCTCGACTTGCTTATTTCTAATAAGATTCTCGATGGTTCTGCGCTTCTGAGAAAACATATTTGACTCTAAGTAACTCTTCTGCATGAAGGCATGTTCGTTGTTGATAAACTTTTCATAGTATTTTTATAAATTTCTCATAAAGTTCTCGCACTCCTCCTCAAAGCCACCGTTATCAGGGACTATGGTGTTTAAAGGGAGGTTGACGTTTTTATCATCGCCTTGAAGATTGGCTCCTTTCCGAGCATGCTCTCTGATTTACTTTTAAAGGCATTGGTTTGAGTGATAGCTTTCAAGACATCCCTTCTTTTAACAGAGTATACTGCCATTTTTAGTCATTTGATTTGGCTAGGTGTATTAAATAATGTGCTCAAGATGCTTGATATCAGTTGGCAGGTAATTACTCTTAGTATTGGTTGATATCTCTTCTTTTTCTGAAGCTTCTCTTATTATCTGTCGACCAATGTGATGCTCACTAGGAATTCTACCAAAGTGTGCACTTACCTAATCTAAATTAGGGCTTATGGTACCTCCGTTGCTAAGAAGTATCTTATCCAAGTGCTCAATGTGATTTTGAGCATTCACTAGTTTGAAATCGCCCTATAGCATAGTGGGATTAGCAGTTGCAAATCTCATAGGACTGCTGTTAGCACTCATAACTTTTTTCAAACTCAATTACCTCTTCAAACCTTGTATGGCTTCTGGCTGAAAGTTGAATTGCTTCCTCTGAGGTAGAGGCTAATTTTTAAATATACTCTATATATTGTGATCTGGTTGCTTTGAGTTTTAAGAGTTAAAGTTCTTTAAGAAGTTAAAATCCTTGAATTCAGTGTGACCTATTGGGAACTAGTCTGAAGCAAATCGAGCTAGGTCTTCTATTTTGCGCATTTCTGACTCTGTTTTGTTGTTCTTAATTATTTAGATCTTCTAGCATGTATCAAGTGATCCATTAGTTGCAAAATTGTTGACTTAGTTGAATATAAGATTATTTAGCATCTGATCCTTTTGAGTGGTATTGTCCTTTCGATGTGAAATATCTCTGCTTATTCTTGCAGAATTAGGAACACTTTATGAATTTGCCAAATTTGAACTGTTTTTGGGAGAGAGCTGCTATTTTACTTACTCAGAGTGCATCTTAATTAGGAAATTTGCTAACTTAGCATCTTTGTTATTCTGGAATATCATGTTTAGTTCTTGTATCTATGAAATCCCTTTAGATGGACTTGTATTCGTCTTAGATTAATGGAATACCGTATGCTTGCTTTTTCGTATCCCATTTTGAGATTTAGGCATAGTAAGTTACTATATTCTTTCTGTCATTGCGCCTGGATTAATTTTAGAGTTAGAATTAGCCCTGCTACCAATTAAATTAGCTGCTAAGTTCTACCTAGTATTGATCTAGCTTGATTTCAAGCTATCTCTCATAGAAGGCAATGTCCCATTGAACACATTGTTATTAGTAGTATTGATATTTATATTTGTGATGTGTATTTTATCACTTAGGTTCTTTAAACTTGCACTATCTCTTAACCCAGAAGCATTAGTTGGCTGAGAGAAGATTTTCTAATAAAGATCCTTAATAATTTCATCCTTAGAGTTCCCTACTGACTTTAATTTAACACCTTGCTAATTGACAATAGATCTAGACTCAGATCCAACTTTTTTAATTGATAAGTTTTTTTAACTGGAGCTATTACTCACAGATTGCGATGGTTTGATGTTAGTATTCATATTAGATTATAGCTTAATCTATGAGACTTCACTTGATGAGGCAGGCTGATGCTAGCTTCCCCCTAATACATTTGTATTGAATAACTCATCTTCCTAGTAAAGCAAAGTTTATCTCAACTCCTGATCATTTTGCAACTTCTCTCTTATGAAATTTTGCACATAGAATTTCTCTAGGGGTACATCTCTGGCAGCTAATGCTTCTAGGTTGCCCATTGAATTCTGATTTTGTTCCTCGGAGACTTGCTAGTTCTTACGAAGCTGCTGGAATTACTTTATTGTATCTGAAAATGTATCCTGCACAGGTAGACTAAACACCTGGGCAGATTAGCTATTTTAATTATTTTTCATAGTTTAATTATTCTTAACTCTTATTTAAAAGTATAATCTGATTTCAATTTGCAAATTATTATTACATCTTGGTTTATTTTTTCCATCTTCACTTTTTGCTTATCTTCTCTGACGGGGTTTTGGGGTTTTGGGG